AATTGATAATTTGTGCGCTCAACAAGTAGTAAACGATGATTTGATGAATAATTTGATACTTGAGTTGATGGTTTTTTGTTTTTTAATACATATGTTGACAGACATTTTTTATGCCATTTATAATTTTATATTTTACATCTTTTTTTCGTACAAAAATAAAATATATGCTTACTTAATGAACGTTTAAAGGCACATAATAGTCTTCATTTTTACCTGCAGAAATCTATTATCTTTCCAGTCATACTACTTCGTCATATTGAATTTATTCAAAAGTCTTCGGAGATTTGTTTCTGAGAGATCAATATTTTATGAATACTATTAGATATAAGGTTGTAGAGAGAATGTAGCCAGTTTGAACAATCATACATCATCATGTTGGTCTCTCTGGAAACAAGTGTTCTTCAAGATGCATTATTAATAAAATGAGAACTGCTGGTAATGGGCGAGTTATAATAATGTTACTTTGTCTATTTTCGATTACATTATATAAAAATCTTTTGAAAATATTCATAGAGAAAAAATAAAAAAAGATGTCACTGGTGAGAAGAGCATCTGCTATTAATTGGTAGAAAGAAATGTCCTTTAACCCTTCTAATAATATACCATAAATTAATAAAAGCAACTAAGTCTAATTCTTAAGTATTATAATTTATTCTCTGCGATCGTCTGTACCAAACAGGACAGTTGTCGTTAAATACTATACATCAATGTTTCACTGATTCTATCAGAGTGATTTCTTATCCAACAGGAAATTCATTTAAACAATATTTCGTATTTCTATTTTACTGTACTCAAGAAAAATTATGAGTGAAAATCGAAAAGATCGTATATTTCATGATCGAATTGATGCTGGTTGTCAATTAGCTGCTCATCCAGATTTACAAAAAATTAAATTTTTACCATTAAATGAGAAAAATTCATATTTAATTATAAGTTTACCACGTGGTGGTACAGTTGTTGGTGATGAATTAGCTAAACAATTACAAATAACACATGATGTAGTTTTCCCAAGAAAAATTCCATGTCCTGGACATCCAGAATTTGCTATTGGCGCTGTATCAGAATTAGGTGACGTCATTTGGAATGATTTTGCTAGATATACAAATTTAATTGATAAACCACATGTTCAACAAAGTAAAGATAAACAAATTCAAGAAGCACAACGACGAAAAACAATTTATCGTGGTCAACGTAAACCATTGGACAGTTTAAGTGGAAAAACTGTTATATTAGTTGATGATGGATTAGCAACAGGTATAAATATATAACTCATTAGATTTAATTATTAGTTTTTTTTTTTTTGAGAAATTATTTTTGTTTTTTTTAAAGAAAATATTCAGTTTGAATTTTCGTTGAGATTTTAACGGTTTTATTTTTCTAGTTCGAAATATCGGTCAAAGGTTAATGCGTACAAAATTAACTTTGTCATTTAAGTTGACAGAGGCGGTTTCTTAGCAATCGAGAAAGGTGTTCAGCAAAATTCAGGACACTTCTGTTGAAATTTTTTCCAGATAATATAGATTTTAGTTTCACCCCAGCGAAATGATTTTATGATAGATATTAACATTGATGGTGAGTGATATATAAATGTGTTATAGTTAGTATAGAAAGACATCTCGTCTGTGATCAGCTCAAAAAAAAAATACAAGCTAATCGATTTAAAATTCGAGTCGAAAATCAATACGTGTGTTTCAAAGTTATTTAAGATGTATGATAGCGTATATTGAGATATAAAACTAGATAGGATATGTGAGCTTAACATATCGATTTTATCAGAGTTGTATTGCTAATTTTTTCTTAGGTGCAACCATGAAAGCCGCTATTAATACTTGTAAACATTTAAATGTTAAATCAATAATTGTTGCTGTTCCTTGTGGCCCAACTGATGGTGTTAAGGATATTAGTAAATCAGTTGATAAGGTTATATGTTTAACAACACCTGATCATTATCATGCTGTTGGACAATGTTATAATTCATTTGATCAAACAACTGATGAAGAAGTTATTGAAATTCTGGCTAAATATCAAGATTTAAATATTGAAAATATTTCAAACAGTTATTAATTAAATATTCATTAATCATTTTTTGAATCGTTTTTACTATGCTTATCAGTGTTTGACATCGAAAAATTTTATTCTTAATACAACCTATGTTGCAAAAGTCTTGTTATAAGATAGTCGCTCATTTTTTTGCCATTAAAAGACAACTGGCTAGAGTCAGAAGCAGTTAGTTACAAAGATGGAACCGATACCAATAGATCGGTCGTTACCGATGTGTCTTATTTATTATTCTGCTCTTATTATCTCATAGAGGATGTGTAATGAAACTTTATTGAAAGTTAACTATTATCCGTTTCAAAATATAGTGCCCTCCACTGTTTTTTGAATAACTCAAGAACACAATCAGCTAGAGACCTGCGATTTTCACCAGTCGAAAGAAAAGACAGGGGAACGTCTTTTTTTCTAATATTGTATCAGACGAAATCATTTTTGAATCAGTCATTTTTGCAAAACATTGCAAAAAATGCAAGAAAACGTTCTGTCATTCCAGAGAAATTTTTCTTCTGACATGTGATCTAGATAGAGGAACTTCGGGTCTATAGTTCAGGATATAATTCGAATGATTATCTTACCGCATCCTAATGTTGAGCAAATAAAATCGTCTATTTACTCCCACAAAAACTATGGATTTCTTTTAATTTTTAAGCAAATTTTCTTACTTTTTGTCAAAATTTCATCTGAATGACAGACCATTTTTTCGATGTTCTGCAGAAATGACTGGTTTTAAAACGATTTCGACTGATACAATATTGGAGAAAAAGGCGTCCCCCTATCTCTTCTTTCGGTTGGTGAAAACTGCAGGTCTCTAGCTGATTGCGTTCTTGAGTTATTCGAAAAACAGTGGAGGGCACTATATTTTGAAACCGATATTTTGCTTTATACAGACACAGTCTTGAACTTTTTTCANNNNTGTCGATCAAAATATCTAATGATAGTTGTTTAATCTTACCTGAGAAGGAAATTTTAAACACATATTCATATAGAGCGAAAAAGTTTGATTCTAACTATCTGCTTCTGACTCTAACCAGCTGTCTTTATGAAACTGAAAAATGAGTGAATATTTTGTGCCAAGACTATCACATCATAGGTTATATATATATTTGTATGATTCTTTGATTAGAATCAAAGCGAACTCGAACTATCTGCTAATGATAACATGGATAGTTGAGTGATGACATTTCTTCGCTTTTCATATCTATTGCCCTAAAGACTATGTAGCCCATTTCTGCACTATTCCTCTAGGGCTACAAATCCAGATAGAATGCTACTTTTGAAATCTAATAAAGGTCGATTGTGTAACTAATTCTTCTCAGATTCAATAATTAGATTCTAAATAGATTTTATCGTTTAATATTGTCATTTCATTTTTCTAGAGCAAAAAAGCATCGAACATCTTTGCTATCGACTATATCACTAATGAACAATTATATTTTACAATAATAATCATGTTTAGTGGTAAACAATCGATTAAAATTGTATTAGATTCTCAACATGTTTTATATGGTGATTTAACATTAGTACCGAATTCCATTGGTATAGTTCTATTTGCTCATGGTAGTGGTAGTTCACGTTTATCACCTCGTAATCAATATGTAGCTGAACAATTAAATGAAGCACAAATATCGACATTTTTACTTGATTTATTAACTAAAAATGAAGAAATTGAAGATGATAAAACACGAAAATTAAGATTTAATATTCCATTTTTAGCCGATCGATTATCACAAGTCACTGATTGGTTATATCAAAATGATAAAAATATTCAAAACTTATCAATAGGATATTTTGGTGCAAGTACAGGTGGTGCAGCTGCTATTATAGCTGGTGGTATTAAACAACAAAAACGAACAAAAGCAATTGTATCAAGAGGTGGACGACCAGATTTAGTTCCTACGGAACAACTGAATCAATTAACTGTTCCAACATTAGTAAGAAAAAAAATATAAATAATAGTTTTTATAGTAAATTAATGTTCTTTGGAAAGATGAAGCCTTTCTTATAAAAAAAAAATTTCTAACAAGAAGTTTTTACTTTTTATAACAATATTTCTTGTTGACGCATCCGTAAGAAAATATGTAATGATCCAAAGCAATCTTTAATATTTTCACATAAAAACTTGTAGTTTTCAAGGAAGGTTCTTAGGTATCGCGTATTTTTTTTAATCGAATTTTATCAGTTTGTAGAGCTTGATTAATAAAAGATTTAATATATAGCATTTGTTTTCATACTAAA